CAGGGTCAACGACGAATAGTTAGGAAAAGAAAAAGAACCCCCCTCTCACGTTGTAACATTACCCCCCTCTCCAGATTTGTCATTCAGTTTCCATTGAGCACGACGCTCTTGTAGATACCCGGGTTCCTCAGTGAGACAAGGGAGTTGTCCAGGCTGTACATTGTCGGCAGTACGGAATTTGTGACGAGGGTGATGGAGCCCACAATAGGAACACAACCAATGCCAGCACTCACTCTGAAGATGATCATCAGTTTCGCATTTGGTACAGAAGTGAAGACGGCGGGGCATGGCACCAGAAGGGGGAGTGATGATGGAGAATTCGTGTTGCTCAAGTTGTTCCTCCGGGTTGGTAGCTCTAAGTCGAGCTCGATATTGGTCCATCTTGCCTTGTGTGTGAATGAGTTCCACTCCTATAGATCGCCGTGTGGCGAGGAGTAAGTCAATTTTTGCATCAACTGCCTGGAAATGATCAACCTCATCGGTTCCTCCTGGATCCTTGATGTCCTGCAGCAATGCCCAGAGACTTTCCAGCAGGTTATCATCTCATGTCAGCAGGTACTCCCAAGTGTCCTCCTCCCATTCTTTGTCCGACAAGTTCCAATTTCCCACAGGTTCTGCAGTTCAGAGTACATTGGCTGCGGTTGTCGAGACCCATCGTAATCCAAATGCAGGATTTCCATCGATAGGAACGCCCATAGGAGGTCGAGTAACAGTGGTGGCACATGCCCCAGGAAAATGAGGTAGTACACGTTCCAAGGGGTTGACATCTTGAACAGGGGTGGAGGTGTCAAATGGAAGGGATCGCCAGTATTGGGTGACATTGTTGGAGGGTCGCTGGATGACATCGTCGCTGTTAAGGGACCTGACGATTGAGGATCAGGAGTTCCACTTAAGACTACTACTGACAAAAGGTACTGCTACACATAAGGCTGATGCGCTATACTAGAACTAGACTTAGAGACTGAGCCACTGCAACTGGCAGTAGTTTGAGAAAGTATACTGGGTGAAGCAACACTTCAGACTGAACTGGAATAGACAAT